AATTTTAATTAACTGATAAATAATTCTCATAACCCCAATTTTGTTTGAGTTTCACATATGTGGTTAATTTGCCATCAGCATAACTTTGTTGACTTGTATACCATTTTTTCTTATAATCATCTAATAAAGTTTTATGGCAGAATGACTTAAATCTATGTTTCTCATAACAAATTACTTCATCTTTAATATTCAATATTAATCTTAATTTCTGTATGAATGCAAACCATGAATACTTGCCATTCACATAAAGCTTTTCATATGCATTGATAATATCATAATGCAGGGGGGAACCTTCCTAATTCAGACAATACTGCAAAATTTGTGCTTTTCTTGTGAACACCGAGAATATATTTACAGAATTTAAGATATATTCTTTCACAGGGCAGATTTAAAGCAGTCTTCAATTTCTGAATTTTGGCAGTTTACAAAATTTTTCTCCGATCCAGAAAACACTTTATGTTAGTGTTTAGAGCTTCCTTAAGATGCCATTATTATCACTGGCCATGCAGTTCTTTAAAAGATTTTTCCTGTATACATACATGTAGACCAATTATAGTTTGACCCTTTATTCTCACCAACGGGTATAAGGATGTAAGAAACATTTAAGGGCCCAGAATTTCTCTTGTTAATTAGTACAAATCTTGAAGCATCAATGTAGTATAGTAGGGAAAAATTTAAATTTAATACGATATGGGTATAAGGATGTAAGAAACATTTAAGGGCCCAGAATTTCTCTTGTTAATTAGTACAAATCTTGAAGCATCATAAATGTTTAGGTAAAGCTTTGAAATTCCAAAATAGGTCACCCTGACCTACTCTCTAGTTGAGGAACTCTGAGGACCTACCAAAAGCAAACAAGACGAACAGGGGCCACATCGCTCACCTGAGCAAATCGGCTAGGAAAAAGCACAAATCTGATCAGAAAAAGATTACTGAAGGGAGGGCTTGAATTTAATGGCTTTGAAGTACTTGAGAAGAGATTTTTAAAGATTTCCCTATCTAGTCCTATATAAGATTTTGGTCAGCCATTTTGGCCCCATCCTACCCCCGGGGGTTATGATTTGAACAAAATTGAATCTACACTACCTTGAGGATGATTTCACATGAGTTTCATTTTTCCTGGCCCAGTGGTTCTTGAGAAGAAGATTTTTCCTATATATACCTATTACCTATGTAAAAAATTGATCGGCCATTGTGGCCCCACCCTACCCCCGGGGGTCATGATTTGAACAAACTTGAATCTACCGATACCAAGGTCAATGACCTTGTGACCTTGACTGTGACCTATATGCTAAAAATAGTTTTTTTCTGCAAACTTTAACCTTCACCATAACATTTGAAACATAAAAGATAGAGACCTCATATTTGGTATGCATACACCACTGAGTAAGCTCTTTTAAATGACACCATGGTCAATAACCTTGTGACCTAGACTGTGACCTATACGTTAAATATAGCTTTTTTGTTGGCAGACTTTAACCTTCACCATGACTTTTGAACAAAGAAAGATACAGACTTAATATTTGGCATGCATACCCCACTAATTAAGCCATTTCACGACACAAAGGTCAATGACCTTGTGACCTTGAGTGTGTCCTATATGCTAAAAATAGCTTTTTCGAACCTTCATCATAACTTTTGAACCATGAAAGATAGAAACTTCATTTTTGGTACGCATACTTCACTAATCAAGTTCTTTCAAATGACACCAAGATCAATGACCTTGTGACCTTGAATGTGACCTATAAGCTAAAAATATGTCTTTTAACTTTGTTGCCGCCGGGCGCATAGTGTTTTACGATTACATCTTGTTTTCCGATAAATCTGATACCAGGCATATGGTATCATTTTGAAAAGGGGCAGTCAGAAAAACAATGGAGGGCCTGGGGTTGGAAACTTCCTATAAGAACCAAATTTTATTAAAGATATGTAATCATCTAACACAATTTAACTATGCTACAACAAAAAGTAGGGGGTCAACTTGCCCTTCAATGAACATTATCAATAGTATAAAGTCAAGTTTGAAAAAAAAAGTGCCGGATACTACGTGCTTGGATGATTATTACATTACTGACGATTTGTTTTTTTTTTTATTAAATACAACTAAATTTGGTAAATTTTAAGGGAAGCATTTGATCCCAATTAGTCGAAACTACCTGAGGTGGCTTCCACATGAGTTTCATCTTTCCTGGTCCAGTGGTTCTTGAGAAGATTTTTAAAGATTTTTCCTATATATTCCTATGTAAAACTTTGATCTACCATTGTGGCCCCACCCTACCCCCGGGGGTCATGATTTGAACAAACTTGAATCTACACTACCTGAGATGGCTTCCATATGAGTTTCATCTTTCCTGGCTCAGTGGTTCTTGAGATTTTTAAAGATTTTCCCTATATACTCCTAAGTAAAACTTTGATTAGCCATTGTGGCCCCACCCTACCCCCGGGGGTCATGATTTGAACAAACTTGAATCTACACTACCTGATGATGCTTCCACATGAGTTTCATCTTTCATGGCCTCGTGGTTTTTTAGAAGAACATTTTTAAAAGATGCCATAAATTTTTCACTAGTTCATAATTATCCACCCTTAGAAGAGGGCGTGGCCCTTCATTTGAACAAATTTGAATCCCCTTTACCTAAGAATACTTTGTGGCAAGTTTGGTTGAAATTGGCCCAGTGGTTCTTGAGAAGAAGATGAAAATATTAAAAGTTTACGAAGACTACGACGACAGACAACGGACAAATTTTTGATCAGAAAAGCTCACTTGAGCCTTCGGCTCAGGTGAGCTAAAAAGATTACCCGTTCAAGGTAGTTGAGGCCGTTTTGGTAATAACCGCTTAATTTTCCTCTCTTGACTGACTGGCGATAAGTTTTAACCTTAATAAACATTTTTTTTTCTAAATTTTATTTTTCAAAATTTTACACTTCAGCATTGATATTGAAATTTTCTGGGGGATTTTTTTTTTACCAACCTGTTCATGTCAAAAGCACTAGTCAACTTTTAAATGCCAGACAAGAACATATTTCTATCAGTTTTCTCGTGTCTGATAATGTACTTCGAGTCTTGATTTTCATCTTTGTGAATGTGTAATCAAACTTCATATGCTGATGCATACTGATATTAGCTATTCAAATGCATTAACAATTTTTGACCATGACATTTCTTTTGACCATGACCTCTCTTCTTAATTTAGCTCCGTTTCAAAGACACCATTCGTGATATTTTTATCAAACTTAATATGCCGATATATATTACTGAGAAATATTGAACGGAATCACAAACTTTCGATCTTGAGCTTTCTTGTGATCTTGACCTCACTTTACTCTCATCTGCATTTAGCCTTGTTTTTAAGAGAAACTGTTTCAGTTTTTTTTTTTAATGTAAGCTTATGCACCTACATCATACCAAGTTATACTAGGATAGTCTTAAATAAAGTGTCCCACCACAGCATAATATTTCCATAACAGCTGCTTGATCAGGATTGCTCTACCAGTTAGCTCCTGACAATAAACTCATTAATTTCTCTCTAATCTGACATGCAAATTTCTGCTATCAAAATTCTTCTTGACCAGTGCTTGATAATTATGCCCATGAGAGAAATTGAATTTCTCTCAATTCATTCACTTTTTTGACAGATTGCTGTAAAGTATATGATGGGGAAAAAAAGTTTTTACTTGATTTAACATTTTTTAATAAGGATACAACTAAATTTTTTTTACATTTTTTAGGAATATGAAATTTAAAACACTTAGTTTTTAAAAAAAATTTCACTTAAATTAAAGGTCAGAGTGACCTTGAAATAGGTCGTGACACACCTTCTACCTAAGATGTATATATTTGCCAAGTTTGATAGTTCTAGGTCTAATAGTTTCCTAGTTATGAGCCAGACAGGATTTTTCCATGTTTGGCCATAGCATCTTAATTAAAGGTCAGAGCAACCTACCTTTTGTGTGCGACACACGGTCTACCCAAGAAGTTTCAGTTGACAAAGTTTGATAATCCTGGGCCTAACAGTATTGAAGTTATGAGACGGACAGGAATGGACAGACAGACGGACATGAAGCCTATAACATAATATGTCCCGTCTTAAGACGGGCATATAAAAATAGGAACAAAATTTCAAACTTGTTGAATTGATTTTTATTTTCTTATATAAAAAGTAAAAAAAGAGTAAAAGTCCTTTGAACACTGTGGTGGTACCGAAAACCTCCTGGCAACCTGCAAAATTGGAAACCATGATTAAAATAGTCTTTTGCAAAAATTGTATTAAATAAGAGAAGAATGTCACAACCCTTTTCTCTTTTTTATTTTAATATGCAGTTCATTAATACTTTGAAGGAAGAAAGAAGGATTTTTAAGAAAGAAAATTGACTTTTTGACATTAAGAATGCAACTTGTTGTGACAAAACCTCTCAGCTTTCTGAAGTTATACTGATGGCATACGAGTCAGAAATTCTTCTAAATTTTAAGATTTTTATTACTTTTTAAAGGTAGAGCACTTCTGTTACTACTTTTACAATTTAGTTTTATTAGTTCTGTTTATTTTGGACCATTTGGAAGTCCTTAGTTTTATCAGTACTGAGGATTACCTGTAAATGGGCATCTTACCGGTCTCTAGTAAAATGGGGCTGTGAAATTTCGTCTCTTCTTCTTATTCTTTTTGATGGGTATTAGATATCACAATAAAACAAGCATGAGTAAACTTAGTTAGACTTTCCCTATGGAATTTAGAAATATTACTTTTGCACTGAAAAGACCTTTAAACATTTCATTCCAAATGATTTTAAACAATTCTTATCGAGTTTTCCCCACAAGGTATCTTGCCAAGATCATAGATATGTACAGTGGAATATTTATGACCATTATTGTGGGATTAGTCCGAGATAATCATTTCCCCTTTTAATATAATTTGCACGTTTGACTTCAAGAACAAAAGATGATTATATTGATATCTTGCATTAAGTTTTCATTTTGTTAGCATAAAATTTTCCAAACTCCCTCAACTTTGCTTTAACTAAGTTTTCTGTACAATAATAATAAAGTCTGCTCTGTCTTGTCTGTAAAATTAAGTTATTTTTGTTAATACACAGAATACAAACAAACAAATCCAATGCCTCAGATATAGTTATGCATGGGGTTTAGTTTACTAATCCATACACCTGAATTATTTAAAGACATTAAGGTTTTTAAGATTTATCTTTAACATTCAACTTTACAATATACACTTATGACATTGAATTTTAACAATTATGTTAATGCACGCATATTATTTATTCCTATCTTTAGTTTTTTGTTCGTTTTTTTTTTCTTTTGGTGCATATACACTGGTTTTGCATACAAATGTTTGCTGAGACATTGGATTTTTTTTTTTTAGAGATAAAAACATTTTTTCAATATCTTTTTTTGGAATTTATTTTATACTACACTGACAAGTAAACTAAGTTCAGTGAACACAATTAAGTTTTTTTTTTATACAGGTACCACAGGTTTACAACACATTTTAATTTGCCTTCTTTGACATCAACGAACTGCGAAGAGAATACAACTTTTGTAGCCATTTAAAACTGAAAACAATCATGGGATTTTAAATTTGATGTTCAAAGTAGGGATTTGAATCTTATGAGTTTCCTTCAGATCATTCAGTAGGGCTACATTAATTTAGTCTATTCTGTAAGGTAACAAAGTACCTATGTAAACATGATGTGTGAAATATGAGCGATAAAAGAGTTAGCATCAGTGGGCAATGGGTGCACTTAATAGCCTCCTCGTGTACTGGCATAGGGGTGGGGACGTCCACGCCCCCCTCGGGGTGCTGGTGGGGCTTTAAAGGAACTGCCTCCTGCGGACCATCCACTCTCTACAAGAAACAAGACCACATTGTGGTTGACATAAATACCCACGTGCAATCCAATGATTACGTAGTAGCAGAAATTTTTTGTTGGAGTTAACTTACCTTTGGCATACCCATCATCATATCCTTGTGCACTTGAGCCATGTCCATAGTCAAAGTACTGTGTATCTCTACAATTGTAGAAGTATTCAATCAGTTACCTGTCACATTAACATTTAGTAACAGTAAATCATAGTCAGTAGAATACCTTCATAAGTTTTCAATACCCACCCTGCAGCATAGCTTGTTTCTGCGTATGGGTCTCTAGCATAGGGATCTGCATATGGATCTTCATAAGCCTTAAAAAAATTTGGTAAGTTTTGAATGTATGTATTTTGATTATCATTGGTATCGGGTAATAAAATCACATGCACATTCACGTTTTTGTACCTGAGTGCTGTAGTCCTCGTAGGCTTCTGTACGAGGTGGTGGTGGGGGTGCTGGTCTACCCCGTCCTGCGGGGGCTCCTCGAGGGGCTGGGACACCACGTGGGGCACCTCTTGCAGGTGCTCCTCTGTAAAAAAGAACATTTAATCTATGTGCAAAAAATTCTGTAAAACTAAAGGCTTTCATTGCCTCACTCTCATTGAAGGTACATACCGGTATCTCATATGCAAGCATGAACATTTGCTCATATTTCTTTCTCATCAACGTTTGGCAATAAAGGATGACCTCTCTACTTCAATTATTAAAAGCTACTGATTGATTTTCAAATGATTTCTTTAAAATTTAAAATGAATCTTCAATATCCCCTGTGTTTATATCATATTCATCCCCCTCCTTTAAATAAACAACAAAATTTTTAGGAGAGGTTTCACTGTAACCAAACACCGCTTTTAAATATCTGACTGAACTAATTCAACTGACCTGGGTGGGGGTGCTCCTCTTCCAGCAGGTGAGGTGAGGAGACCTCCTCTTCCCCCGGCCCCTGGACCACCTCTTCCCCTCCCTCGTCCACCTGCACCAGGTGTACCTGCTCCCGGGGCTTTCTCTCCATTCAGATACATCATTTCTTCCATCTGTTGCTGGTGTATTTCATCATTGTATTCCTGTGATAGGAAAAAAATTGCTGATTATTTATCAAGAAATCTCCTTTTTAACAAGAGGCCCACGGGCCTTATAGGTCACCTGAGTATTGTGCAACAACTTTCAAATTATTAAATTTGGTTCCTGTTTTAAACCAGAGGCCATGAAATTCGCAATTCACAATATTGAAAGAGGCACCATTGCTTATCATAATTATAGACTTAGCATGCTTACTCTATTTACTTAATACCAAAAGGTAGATCAGAGTAACATAGAGAAAATGCACTTCTGCTTTATAACTAGTTGTGCACATCATCCCAAAGGAACCCCTGACCTTGGGGCCACATATTTCAAAATTTTGCAAATTTTATCATAAAATGGTTGATTAATACCTAAGAGCAGATTTCAAAGCATTAATTTTATTTTCAGACTATGTACCACAACCCCACCCCCCAACCCAGAAGGGGGGGGCATAAAAAAAATAACCATTTTGCTAGATGCACCTTTCTTCATCATAAATATATATTCTTAGATCATTGGCATAAAACCCAGGAGCAAAGAAGAAGATTTTCAAAGAATTAATGCATTTTCACTATATGGAATGCCCCGCCCTAACACCAGAACCCCTGACCCTGGGGCCACAAAATTCACAATTTTGGAACAGGCACTCTTGCTCATCATAACTATGTACTTAGTTAGTTTATTTAATACCCAGAATCAGAGGAAAAGATTTTCAAAGAATTAATGCATTTTCACTATATAACCAATAGTGCCCCGCCCTAACACCAGAACCCATAACCCTGGGGCCACAAAATTCACAATTTTGGAACAGGCACTCTTGCTCATCATAACTATGTACTTAGTTAGTTTATTTAATACACAGAATCAGAGGAGATGATTTTCAAAGAATAAATGCATTTTCACTATATAACCAATAGTGCCCCACCCTAACACCAGAACCCCTGACCCTGGGGCCACAAAATTCACAATTTTGGAAGAGGCACTCTTGCTCATCATAACTATGTACTTAGTTAGTTTACTTAATACCCAGGAGCAGAGAAGAAGATTTTCAAAGAAATCATGCATTTTCAATATAATCTATATAGCCCCGCCCTAACACCAGAACCCCTGAACAAAATTCACAATTTTGGAAGAGGCACTCTTACTCATCATAACTATGTACTTAGTTAGTTTATTTAATACCCAGAATCAGAGGAAAAGATTTTCAAAGAATAAATGCATTTTCACTATATAACCAATAGTGCCCCGCCCTAACACCAGAACCCCTGACCCTGGGGCCACAAAATTCACAATTTTGGAAGAGGCACTCTTACTCATCATAGCTATGTACTTAGTTAGTTTACTTAATACCCAGGAGCAGAGAAGAAGATTTTCAAAGAAATCATGCATTTTCACTATATAATCTATATAGCCCCGCCCTAGCACTAGAACCCCTGACCCTGGGGCCGTGAATTTCACAATTTTGCAAACTCAATGCACATTACATTCATGCCAACAGTTTGCCTGCTTGATGTCCAGGACTATAGAAGAAGATTTTTAAAGATTGCAAAAATTTTAGTGGTTTTGGCCCCACCCTTCAGGCCCCAGGGGGGCGGGGACCATAAAATTCAAAATTTTTGTTCCCCTTCACCCATAGATGCTGTATACCAAATTTGGTTGAAATTGGTTCAGTGGTTTCAGAGAAGAAGTTGAAAATGTTCAAATGTTAACACACGATGCATGACGCACGACGACGGACGAAAACGGATAGCAATAGGTCACCTGAGTTACTCAGGTGACCTAAAAATATCAAAGACATCAGACCATCCTTAATAAATTGCTTGTTTGCCCTCTCCCAAAGGACTGGCTAAAAATGACCCGATTAAAAACTTTAACCTCTGAGACAATTTTTTTCTCATTTTATTCCTGGGTTTTCTCATCTAAATGTATGTTGAATTTTCTTAGGAGGAAAAAAATTTCCCATTTACAGACCAACCCAATTTTATTTACCCTGAGTCAAGAGAGGGCAAGTAAACATGTTAAAGATAGCCTAATGTACACATTTGAGAAAGGCTTGCCTTTGATGTTATTTACATCTGGCACAAGACTCAAGATTGAGAAAATCAAAATGGAATGCGACATTCCTCTTCTCAAAAACAATACTTACCGGTGATAAAAATTTAGTAAGTTCTGATAATGCATGGGAGAGTCTGGCATAAGCATCTGAAATTTCACTGTATACTTCAACAAGGACATGCAGCTCTTCATTTAAATGGGCATATTTTCCACCCTCTTTCTTAAGTTCATCTTCCTGCAATTCAAAGGTTCATAAATTTATACGTTCACAAAATATTTGTTTCTAAAAATTTTACGTATGATTTACAATACCAATTTTGGAAACCTGCATTTAGAAATGTTAATATTTTGCTTATTCCCACCTTTGCCTTGTCTCGCATTGACCCTCTTCCAAGAATTGACATCTTTGTCCCTGTTTCTTCTTGTAACCTCTTAAGTGACATACCTTTTGGGCCCAATAGTTTTCCAACAAAATTAAACTGTAGAGAAAACAGGCTTTAGTTAAGTACAAATTCATGATAAGTTGGCTGCTGTAAAATTGTCACTAAAAACATCATTATTTTTCTATGTGGCCTTACTTTGGGGTACTCATTCTGAGGAATTTTGACTTTGACAGCTACTCCCTGTGGTCTGTTATGGTGAGCTTCCACTGTAGGAATCACTTTCTTACTTCCACCTTCTGCTTTCTTTATTTCTGCAAATCAAATGCCAAATTAACTAAATATTCAATAATAAGTTAAATAATATTTGTTCATCAAATGTGTTAGTCTGGTATCTACATTGTTTATTAGACAGTGTACAAGTCTATTTTTAGGAATGGGGCTGGGGATGTAAAGATTGTGAAAGCAGGAGCTGCGAACAATGTAGCCCTCTCCATTTTTTTAATCTGTTATTTTCTGGAGAGGGATACAATACCACAGCATCTCCATAAAGGTGTAAATGTAGTTTTTTTTAAATACAGGAGGAGGATACATTATAATATTGCAGCTAGGAATGCAGCAACCTTTTGGTGGAATTAGTGATAATCTGTAATCATTTTACTTTATAATCATCTATCGCAGATTTATGGTCTTAACTATATTTTTGGTTTGCAATACAGTACAATATGTATGTAAAGCTTAAATTTTTGGGGAAAATTACTATTTAAGAAAAATTCATACATTCAATTAGGAAAATTGGTACTTTTATTGAATGGGGGATGGCCCCAGATGGGGTCCTTGAACAACCACCTATTCAAGAGAATTGTTAGCCAATCTGATCCAATTTTAAATAAATAAAATTTCATTCTAATCTAAACATTAGTTTTTGTGTAAACTTATACAAATTTTATAAACGTTAGGCCATCATTAAAAATATTTTTGTTTTATGTACTGACTACTCCAGCCCATATTTTTCAAGGTGGGTAGATATGTTGGTATGCCCACGTTAGTTATTTTATTTTATTTATTTTTTTATATTTGCTTTACACTACCATAGTTGCCAACTCACCCGATTTCGTCGGGTCACACCCGATTTTTCAACCCATAACCCGATTATTTTTTATGACCCGGCGGGTCATGCTTTTCACCCGATTTTTACCGACTCTCCGAAAATCTTGATTAGATTTGTCCGGATTTGGTTTGCGTAAATTTTGCACTTTTAACTTCCAGTTACAACCCAAGCTTTTCTGATCTACGTAAACAATGCCGATGGATTAATTATCAGTGCAGGTGTAAACAATTAACTGGGTGTTGTTTTGACAAATCAATGTTTGAAGTCAATTAAAATGGCTTCCGATTGAACTATATCGTTATCAGGGCCAGCAGGAACAAATTGAACCAAACACGTCTCTGATTGAACCAAGAAAAGGAGAAACAATATTTATGTACACATCAAGTAATCTTGGAAAAAAAACTTTCATTCTGTGTAAAAAAAGTGATCAAAACAGTGTAGGCCTAACTTCACATTTAATATATACATATTGCAGTAGTTAATTAATCAAGAGAGAGGAAAAATAACTTCAAAACTAAAATTGGTATACTTTCAAATTTAGCAGAAGCTGAAAAGGCTTTTTAAAAAAAAAACACACTTACTTCAGGTCAATACTGAAAGGTATGAAACCTTAATTCTATTTTTTAACATGTAAATTTAATCAAATTATGTATGAATTTTTTGTCATTGTAAATTAAAGCTTTTTCAATAAAAGAATTCTCAATACACAAATACTTTGTATATATATATAATTATGTATAAAATTTAATGATGGTAAATATGTCGTGAATGTCGTTACGTGTTATGACCAGATTTTTTACTTTCCAAATCTGGTCATGACCAGATTTTTACATGCTGGAGGTTGGCAAGTATGTACACTACAGTTTAACTTTTTGACAAAAAGATAACTGTCATAAAATTCACAGACTTATAAATTCATTGACATTTTCATTACACAATGGAGAGCTATACAGATTATTACAGAAAATCTGTTTTTCTATATATCACCTGCTTTCACCTATATTTTTTAACAGATTAGATTTGTCCGATGAGAAATTTTGGCATTTATATAATACAAGATTTCATTTTCCATCGACTTTACATATATTAATAGAGAACAACTGCTTTTCTGATTACAAAAATATGGTTTAACAACATGGTCTTTGTCATTTTTTAATACCACAGCGTTTTGGCAACCTGACATCACTTGTTTCTTTGAAATCTTTCTCTGTTTTAGTGATTAAAAAGCACAAAACTAAGACAGATCATAACGAAAACTAACTGCTAAATTCCAAATGAACATATTTTTGATTTCCAGATTTTCATAATAGCAAAATGTAAGACATATTTTAGACTAAAATTCTGTACAAAATATGGCGAAATCGTAAGAGTAAACAAGTCAGTAAAAATTTCAATCAAAAACATTTTTGATAGAGAAATTATACTATGGAAACTGAAAACAACATACTTAAAATTCAAAGCTAAAAAAAATGATTGGGTAGAGGTGATTTTATTTTTAATGGGTTGGTTGGAGTACATCAAACAAATATTTTTTTAATGTTGGCCTAAGAGAAGAATTAATCTAAAATCACTGTTTACGAAGTGATCATCAGGACTCCACAATTATAATATCCATCTTCCTCTACAATGTCGAATTATAGATACACTGGTAAAATGCTTGGGCATGGAATTTCTTATGGTGATTTTAATATGTAAGAAGTGTCAGACAGTAAGGTATGGTCACATTTTGAAAAATAATGCAATACATTTTTGCAATGCAGTAAAAATACTGCAGTATAGCGAGATTCTCAGCTCATAGACTACTAAACCCTAGTAATAACTTCATATGTTCTCTTACCAATATAATGATCATTTAATAGGCAACAGTAGCCCATAGTGCATACTTGAAGAGTCAAAAATGCTTGCAACTTTGTCCATTTCTTACAAATAATTTGTATGATTGAAAAACTGTATGTAAATACTAGTTAAATCAATCCATTTGGGATAATTTAATAAAGCTAGTGTATATAGATACTTCAAACTACATAGCTTAATTAAAAAGATTTAGTTTTCAACTTTGAAATGGACCAATTCACCAAAAACCACAATGTTTCCAAAAGCATTTGCAAAAAAGCATGAAAAGCAGTTTTGGTCAACAAGGACATCACAATGCCAAAGAAACTTATTCCAAAATAGCTAAATAAAGCTATATTATACAGGTAAATAAAGCTATATAGGTAGATTTAGCTATATAGCTAAAAGTGATTTTCCTGTGAAGATTCTTAAACATACACTCCATAAGGAAAAAATTCAAATTTAAATTAACTTCTGTGTTAAATTTATGCAACACGCAGAGGTAAGCCTACAAGGCTACATGAAAAATTCCAAGACACGTGCTTTTCAAACGATTAATTATGATTATTACCTTCTGTTAATACACGAGCTGTTTGCACCAATTTCAATTGTTCCACTTGTCCAAGTTCATTCTTCAATTCATTGATATAGTCTGAATTTATTCCTGCCATCTTAATGCGTTTTAAAAATGCCGACACTCACTTTACTCTTTTGTTGGAAATGGCGGAAAATGGCGTCGCAGGTTAACCCCCGCTGTTTTAGAAATATAGTTCCTCAATTCTCCGAAAAACAATGAATATAGTTAAATGCCTCGTATGCTTTTTAATAGTAATATTCCATTAAAAATTACACATATTAATCTCAATAAAACTTTTAAAAAGTAAGCATTTTAAACGTTTATATATGTTGCGTAGGAATATCAGAACTCTTGATAAAATTAATTCGGGTTCGTTGCACCTGAAATATTAAACCCTTTCTCCAAACACAAGTATCAACCAAACCAAATAGACTTAATAGTTAGTCACTGTGAGTGTCATTGTGACTGTGATTGAAATTAGAACCTACTGACCGACAATAAAAGCCATGTCCATGCAGGTTGACCTAGAATTAAAAAAGGTAAAGTGACAGGGTTTCAATATTTGTCTTAATTCTTTCTTGACCACAATGCCCTAAAACATGATAAAGATGGAGGAAACATGTTTTCTTCTGATATTCTCAAAACCTTGAATATTGAATTTCCGTGTAGACAGTTTCACATCCTTTTGACCTTGTTACTCCAGGAAGGACGAAAACATTCAACTTTTTTCATTAACTTTTTTTTTGTACGACAACATAAAGAGAACTGGGGGATTGGTATTCCGTTTAGAGAAGTGGACAGGCTTTGTGCCTACATCCACTTCTCTTCACAGGCCTGCATGTTTTGATTCTGGAAAAATGTGTAAAATGTAGAACCGGTGACGGCCTACACTTCAAGTATTATCTCATCTGAAATATAATTGAGCTTGCAATGACTAGCGGCACTTCGCGCCTCTCATTCCACGCCTCTTGATGCGCTTGCTGTTAACAATTTTAATGTCACAGCCTAGTCTAGGTATTGAAGTTGTAGTAATTAACAAAAACACGGCTGCTGGGTTCGATATTATTTAATATATTATACATAATCAGAAAAAGGGTGATCTGCAATATAATAAAACATGTATTTAATATTTCTCACCTAACACACACTTTTACGCGAATTGGTTTAATCTTAGGAATTTAGATAATTTAGAAATTCACTTCAGTTAAATAAAATGATCAAATAGATAATGAATAATTATAGACAAAGAAATAATTTAACAATTATTTCTTACCGTAATCCTAGACTGAATTTGTCACAATATCATAAGATAATTTGTGTTGGGGAGAGAGAACGTCTTCCCTCCCCAAAGTCTAAGGTTGGAGTGCTCGAGGAGTTAGTATTGGCGCGAATGCGCAGTAGACATGGAAAAACCTGTTTAACCACTCACACACCCGAATACTCTCACTGACCACTCACCGGTATAAATGAATGAATGAATGAATAAGGCAGTGAATGAACGTAGTAAATTCCGTAGTGACGACGGAATTCACTAGTTACTATAAAATTATGATGCCTTAAAATAAGATATGAAAATGATATGAATGATAATTAGTAATTATTAATTAATTAATTATAATTCACCCTGTGACATTAACATAAATATATTCAACTCTCACAAGAAAACTATAATTATAAAGAAGTATCCTCAGGTAGTGTAGATTCAAGATTGTATAAATCATTACCCCCTGTGGTAGGGTGGAGCCATATTAGACGATGAAAGTTTTTATAGGAATATATAGGAAAAAACTTTCAAAATCTTCTTAGGAACAGCAAAGCCATGATTGGTAAAGTTTATGCAAAAGTATCCTCAGGTTAGGTAGTTAAGATTCAAAATTTTGAAATCATGAGCCCCAGGGGTAACCCGGTTGGAGCGGGGCCTAGACGATCAATGTTTTACATAGTAATATATAGGAAAAATCTTTACATATTTGATGATGAGGAACAGCAAAGCCATGATTGGTAATGTTTATATGGAAGCTGTTAGCATCCTCAGGTATAGTGTAGATGAAGATTTGTTTTAAATCATGACCCCATGGGGTATGGTGGGACCACAATAAAAGTTCAAACTTATTGGGGAAAAAGCCACAGGTAGTGAAAACCTGTATAATCATCCTTAGTGTTGATACAAATTGTGTTGATTTAAATTTGTTCAAATCGTACCCCACTTTTATGATTGGGAAATCTATAGCATTTACTGAATTAATATTTGCTTGTTCCTAGCCACTGCATTTGCTCAGGTGAGCGATGTGGGTCATTGGAACTGTTGGAAAATGTTTTTTAATGGGTGAGTGCTTGCAAAGTTAACCTGATTCCATTGACAAGTGAGCACACATCTAGTAGAAATAACTTACGTCACTAAAATGACTAAATTCTTATTCATTTCTTTTTAATTTTAGGCCTTTCAAGAGCTGCAAACAAAAATGATAGCAACAACGCAACAAATCAAGCTATCAGATGCTCAGATTGATCAGCTTAAAAGAAGCATCAAACATTCAGAATTAGTGGAGCATGAAATTGGAGCTCTCCCACAAACCACGAGATTATATGAAGGTGTTGGAAGAATGTAAGATCAACATTCTAGTTCAGTTAAATATATTTATGATATAAATAATTTAATTTTGGTAGATTGGATAAAAAAAAATTTAAAAAGTATATTGTATACCCCGATTAACCTATGTTATGATGACTTAATTATGTCAATAATGTATTTATCTGATTGACGTAACATTTAAAATATGTACAATTACAGTGAAACTCGGTTTAACGAAGTCACTTGGACCTATGAAATTACTTGGCTTTATCCGTAATTTGTTATATCCGTATTAGGAATTTTCTTAAATTTATATAATTTGTGATCCAAGTTAACTTGCTTTATCTGTGAATTCACAATATCCATGTTTGTACTTAACAAGTTTTACTGTAGAAGGTATTTTTGAAGGAGAAATTGTCCTATTTTTCTACACTTAATAATGGAAATTTAAAAGGAATGGATTCAATAGTTACCCAAGTTATACTAGTATAATCTGGGTTGGAACAGTTTAAGCTTTTCTATAAACTGCAGCCTAAAGTGCCCTATTCCAGGTTATACTTGTACATTTTATTTTATAACACGGGTAGCTATTTCAATTCATTCCAAATAAGCTATCAAGATAATTTTATATTGAAACATGTACTATTACCTGATGAAATTTAATCTTTCTTATAGGTTCATATTGCAACCTAAAGATGATATTAAACAAAATCTAACAAATAAAAAGAAAGCAGCAGAGGAAAAGATAAAAAACTTTGAGGTATGAATTACTATGCTTTGGAGTGACTGTGAGTTAACTGTCATTTACTAGAAGTATGGCACGCCGATTGGTTCAAAACTATTTTCTGCACAACCATCAAGTTTTTATACACGAGCTAGATGAAAAATATACACGAGTAAAATAAAAATGCACTTATAGCTAAAAATTGCACATAGTTTGAGAGATGTTAACACAAACATAACGAAAAATACATGAATCCGAATTTTTTTCACGATTTAGGGGTATAATATGCACAAACAAAAATCAAAAATTACATGAGCAGAGGAAACTAAAATTTACACAAACAATGTTACTGCGCATACAGCTGCGCGTATCATTATTATGCACATAGAAAAATATGTATGCTTAGCTGGATGTAATCGAGAAAGGAAAATGGCGTTGACGATGGCATGTGTTTTACTTTGCTTCTTTATTTCTTTGCTGAACCTCAATCCGATTTCAAGCTAATGCCAATCGAACAAATTAAGTGTTTCCATGTGATCTATATGTGAGAATACTTCAAAATTTTTCGAAAATATTATGTTTTTCTTATATTAACCGAGATCCTAACCAATATATGGAGGTATTATTTGATGCAGGGATGGGGTAATTGAAAAAAGTAATTGTAATTGGCTGTAATTAATTACATTTTTTGAAGTAATTGCAAGTAATTTGTAATTGAACATTTTTTCAATTACATGTAATTGTAATTTAATTAATTACACTGAATAAATACCATGTAATTTCAATTACTTTTTCAATTACATTCAATTACTTTATATGATACACATGTACATGAATTCAAATGATATACTGATACCTTTTTACTACGTTTTTTTATTGCAAAACATATCCTCAATCCTTCAATTTTACAGATTGAAGTTAATCTAGTTTCTTTCTATTTAATATACAATTTTATAAAAAAAAAATTTTTTTTTTCATGTTTATCTGAATTTTGCACCACCCTTCCTAGGTCTATTCAGCTATGAAATACACATTTATTATATTTCAATCTTAAGTTTGTTGCTTGGTCACTGCAGAATATGTGTGTCAAGAAAAATAGAAAAGGAATGTGTGTCAAAAATTCTCTCTTGTTGAAAAATTGTCACTGCAGATCACAGGTGTAAATTGCAATCAAAACAAATACACAAACAATTTTCCATGATTAATAAGACAAAGCCAACGCTGTGGATAATTATTTCAATTTCAAATGCTTTGCTAGTTTGAGAAAATTCAATTTGATAATTATTTTAATGTCTAAACAGAATTTTATGAATGAATTTTGTATCCCATTTATTTATGAAGTAAAAATATTCTTAGCAATATCAGGATTTTAGTTAACTTCAAAAGAAATATTTAATTTGAGAGGTTACAGTTGTGACATATGGCATGTGTTTTCAAATATCATATCACATGCAGTTTGTGTACATGTAGGGTTTGTGTGGAGGAAACTGCATCAAACTGATCCCAAGTAGTTCTTCAGTGTTTTGTTAATAAAAGTTAAAATTTAAATCACAAGTATACAAATGGCTTTACCATACTATTTCTTGTATTTTTGTGCAGCGATCTGCTTTATGAATGATCCCTCTTCTGTATAATATTATTCATTGAAAAGGATTATAGGATTTTCCAAAAAAATTGAAATGTAATTTGTAATTTAATTAATTACTTTTGTAAAGTAATTGTAATTTAATTAATTACATCTTAGAAAGCCTGTAATTTAATTGTAATTTAATTGAAGAAAAAGTCAAAGTAATTGTAATTTAATTAATTACTTTTTAAAGTAATTGACCCCATCCCTGATTTGATGCTAGACAAAAATTGTGACAAGAAGGAATCGTAAAATGCAGGGTT